CAAACTGCAACAACAACAAAACAAATAGCTGGGCCTTGTGGCAAGCACCTGTAGTCCCAGCTACTTGGGAGTATCACGTAAGCCCAGGAGTTGGAGGTTGCTGTGAGCTGTGACACCACAGCACTCTACAGAGAGTGATAAAGTAAGACTGTCTCTAAAAAAAAAAAAAGGCCACTGAAGCAAACAGTGGTGAGGGACATTGCAAATGTAACAAAAGCCACTGAATTGTACCCTTGAAATGGTAAAATGGCAGGTTTTATGTGATGTGTCTCTCCCACAATGAAAACAAGAGCGAGGCTGATGGGGCAGGACCAGGTGTCATTCTTTGGGGGTTTGTATGCAACACTGCACTTGGGGAGGGATGAGAGGTGCTGGGAATGAGACAGTGTCCTGAGTGTCCACAAAATCCCATTTCATCTGCTTCCTCCAGCACCTAGGAAATGACTTCTACCAGGGTCCTTGCAACCAGGCCAATCCAGGCCAACTGGTCTGGTCAAAGCAGTGTTACACACACTTCTGGCCTGAGGCAGTGACAAGTCCAAGCCTCCATGAGCACTGAGGCCCTGTGCTGAGATAGTCATGCCCAAGAGCCAGGCAGCCTGAGCCACCAAGCTGCCCAGGGCTCCAGGGCAAGGGACTCAGCACGAGCCACTGGATGCCAGAGTTGCCTGTCACTGCAGCATGTCCTCACCCACCCTGACCTGGGAGCTCCTGACACCCAGCTCTCAGTGAGCCCAGGCATATCAAATGGCAAAACTGAGCTCAGGTGAGTTCTGTCTGATAACCACATCAGGAGCTGAAGGAACCCTTTACCTTCCCTCCTCCACAGGTGGAGGTCTGCATGTAACTCGCCGGGGATTTAAAGGGCTCCAATCCCCCACCTCTCAGTCCTCTGCTGAGGTCCACTGAGCCCAGTAGAACTCAGATCCTGAGGAAGTGCGTGGCTGCTGGGCACCAGAGTCAGATGTCTGATGGGCAGGTTCCAGAGCACAGAAATAAATCTCCCAAGCAGAGTAGCTTACTTATAGGGTCACAACTACCCCTACCCAGGAGCTCCCCCACATCAAGGTCATCTTGAGTTTGTAGCCGCCTCCTGGTACAGATGGTAGACCAGGATCCTGAAATTCAGCCACATTCCATGGTGCTGGGGCCAGCCATTTCCCTCTAGTTGGCACAAGAGTGAGTTAGCTGAGCTGACCTGGACCCAGGCTCAGCAGCCACTACCTTTCCCTGAGGACTGAAGCTGCATTAAGGAAGGATTCTGGTCTGTGTGGCTCCTGCCTGAGGGCAGAGACAGTCTGGCTATAGAAGGGGGCTACAGAGAGGCCCAGGAGGGCCCCACCCAGAGGAGCAGGTCCCATAGGACCTTCTGAACTACTGGTCCAGAATTTTCGGAACTTTTAACTATGTGAACATACCACCCATTCAAAGGCTAAATTTCAATTACACTAGAACCTCTGTAAGTTGGCCACTCAAGGGACTGTAACAAATTGGTCAACATACAGAGGTGGTCAACATAAGGAACTAGGCCTGTTGTACTGATACATACATGTGGTACATGTCCAGTCTATAAAAACTGGGTCAACTTGAGGTGGTCAATGTAGGGGGATGTTCAATTCTGCTGTACATTGCAAATTGATATTTAAGTTCAAGTTAAAACAGATACAACTTTTCAGTTACCTGGTTCCACCTGGGGACCAAGCACTGCCTCCCTACAAGGACACTGCTGCCAGGTAGACACCTGTTATGAGTATTCCAGGGCTGCTGTGACCAAGTCCAGCAGGACTTGAAACAATGGAAGGTTATTCTCTCAACAGTTCTGGAAGTCAGAAGTCCCAAATCAGTATTTATAGGTGGAAATCAGGGTATGGGCAGAGCTGTGCTCCAAATCCTCCCAGGGACAGACCCTATCTATCTCTTCCGGCTTCTAGGGGCTTCCAGGTCCCTTGGTCAGCAGCTACATTGCTCTTGTCTCTGCCTTTGGGCTCATAGGGCCTCTTCCTGTCTGTTTAAACCTTGTTCTGACTCTTCTTATGGGGAGACACATGATGGCATTTAGGGCTCCCCTAGGGAATCCAGGGTCACCTACCCACCTCTAGTTCCTTACCCTAATCACATCTGCAAAGTCCTCTTGTGCCATATGAGGTGCCAAGTCTAGATTGCCAATATTAAGTCATGAGTATCTTTGAGTGACCCTACCACCCTATGCTAATGCCTTACTTTCCAGGACAAGAGCTAACCACTGGACTCCTGTTTTGGGTGGACCTGGCTGAAAAGTATATTTTAATTCTGAGCTCAAATCTTTCTCCCTGAGCAGAAGAATTCAGGCTACTGCCTCACTCAGAAACTTCTAAAGAGCCTTACCAGTAATCAGAGAAGCAGCACCATTTTTCCTCAAACATAATAAAATAATATTCAGTGTCTTCAGGACATGGGGAAAGTCCACAGTGATAAATGCCATGTGCACAGAGCATACATGGATTCTTCCATGTGTACAAGAGAGGGAAGCTGGGAGCGTGGGCTGCAGGGTAGCCTAGATAGAACACTCCATGCCCTGCACCCCTCGGTCCCACCCATGTGCCTTGCAGGGTGAGCATCTCATGGGTCAGCCTTGGATCCTGTTGGCCACAGACTCAGCAAGTGTGCTCAAACACACAGCCTGGCACGCAGCTACTCCAGCAGCTGTCCCACCATAGGAGCAGCAATTGTTCACTGGGCACCCTGAACCCAGACAGTCCAGTCTAAACTGGCCACATGCACTGGGAGAAGGGGTTCCTATGGGGACATGAGTGGTCAGGAAACACAGCCACTCACTGCAACACCTCTGGGCTGCCCACACCAGTCATTCTGGGTAAGAGCCCCGAAAATGCATCAAAAGGTTTTTAAACTCACATACAAAGCCTATCACCACTTTCCAGGCCCTGCTGCTGGGAGTCTCTCCTCAGTAAATGCAGCTTAATAAATGCAGCTTTACTACTCATGGAAGCATTGTAACATGAGAAATTAGAAACCTCCTACCTGACCTTGGCAGAAGGAGAGGTTAGCATACTCTGATTCATTCTTAAAATGCAACACTGTGCAGACACAAAGGGAAATGAGATTTCTGCTTATATGGAAGGACTTCCTATACCTAATATTGGGGGAAATGGCACAACACACGATGGCACGTTTGTGTGTCTTCCTGCAGGCTGGGGGTCTCCACCATGGTCATAGCCAGGCTCTGTGTCCACAGGTTTGGACACAGAACATGAAGGAGAGTCTCCCCCAGACCCTACCAGTGGTGGCCTATGGAGCCAGACAAAAAGACTTTCTCTTTCTATTTTATGTATTTAGGTCTTCAGATTTGTATGGGACTAGGATCAAAATGTGCTCAGTTAGGTCAGTGCCTGTGGCTCAGTGGGTAGGGCACCGGCCCCATACACCGAGGTTGGCAGGTTCAAACCTGGCCCTGGCCAAATTGCAACAAAAAAATAGCTGGCATCATGGCGGGTGCCTGTAGTCCCAGCTACTTGGAAGGCTGAGGCAAGAGAATCACCTAAGTCCAAGAGCTGGAGGTTGCTGTGAGCTGTGATGCCACGGCACTCTACCAAGGGCAACAAAGTGAGACTCTGTCTCTAAAATAAAAACAAACAAACAAAAAATGTGCTCAGTTAACCTAATAAAAATTATAATTTGCTAAAAAAAAATTTTAAAAGAATTTTTTAAGTGTAATGCATCCTTTGATTCACATCAAAGAATTTATCTTAAAAAAAGAAATCAACAAGTTCTCAAAGGTGAACCTGCAAAGACAGCCCTAAAAATGTTTATAACAGAAAATGCACATAGCCCTGGCACAGAAGCCACTAAATCATAGCAACTCTATAGAAACTGATACTACAAACCACTACAACATCTTCTCTTATAGGGAAAGATGGCTCTGGACATCCTAAATGTGGACAAAAACAGTGTACAGAATGAGACTCCATTCTTTGAAAATATAGAAAGAGTTAGGATATGTGCAAAAGTAAACCCTTGGCCAGTCGAGGTAGCTCACATCTGTAAACTCAGCACTCTGAGAGGCCGAGGTAAGAGAATCGCTTACCTCAGGAGTTCAAGACCAACCTGAGCAAGAGTGAGACCCTGTCTCTATCAAAAATAAAAAAAGTAGTGGGGCATTGTGGCAGGTGCCTGTAGTCCCAGCCAGCTACTTGGGAGGCTAAGCCAGGAAGGTTACTTGAGCCCAGGAGTTTGAGGTTGCTGTAAGCTAGGCTGACGTGGGCAATAGAGTGAGACTTTGTCTCAAAAAAAAATAATAATAATAACAATAATTAATAAATAAATCCTTAAGAATTATTCCCAAATATTCCCAAGAATTACTTCTAGGAGTCAAATGACAGGGGATATTTTTTATTTTTGTCTTATCAAAATTTGCTAATTTTTCCAATTACTTATATGACCAACCTTCTCACTAAATACACTGGAGACCTTCACAGCTCACAGGCCTCTCCCTGGAACAATGCTGGGCTCCATCTGCCCACTCACTGAGACCCTTCAGACCACGGTGGCTGCCATGGGATGGGTAGGGAAATGTGCATCTGAGCCCTGTCTGCCCCACTTAGTGGGAGCTCAGTGACAGTGAGGCGACAACACCAAGCCCATGGTGGGCAGACCCCCATCTCTGTCTAGAGCAGTGGTTCTCAACTTTCCTAATGCCACGGCCCTTTAATACAGTTCCTGTGGGTCACAACCCACAGGTTGAGAACCGCTGGTCTGGAGGTTTGGCTCTCAGGAAGGGCAGATCTAGACCCAGAGTTCAAGGAGGCTGTCCAACTCTCCCAGAGCAGAGGATGCCTCCCTGGAGTAGGACCAGGTGTGCACGCAGCATAGTATTTCTGGAAGCCACCCCTGCTCCATGAGCCCACATTTCCAGAAAGCTGTGACACGCTTCTCCCATGAGCACCTCATGATTCACAGCCATGACTCAGTGAACCGGCAAAGCCTCCCTCCACCCGGGCACCTACCTTCTCTCATTGTCATCAAGATGAGAAAAGAGCACATTCTTGGAGATGGCTTTGGCCAGTGCTGTCATGGTCTTATAGTCCTTGGGAATCACCTGTGGGGAAAGCAAAGAAAGTCAGACCATGAGCACCCTAAGGGGCAGAGAGTGGGGCTGGCACCACAGCCAACATCTCCAGGCACCTGCTGGATCTGAGAGGCTGTGACACAGTTCGAAATCAAACTGCTTAGCCCCCGGCCTTCAACTTGATGCTGTTAACAGGTGACAGTAAAAACGCCCAACAGCTTATCTTACGTGTATTCACCCAACTTTTAAATTAATATTATTTTAATTGACAAATCATAATTATATACATTTATGGGGTACGATGTGACATTTTGCTATATGTATACAATGTGGAATGATTAAATCAAGCTAATTAACATATCCATCACCTCACTTACCTCCCATGTTTGGTGGTGAGACATTTGAAATTTACTGTTATTTTGAAATACAGTCATGCATCACTTAAAGACAGAATTATGTCCTGATGAATGTGTCACTAAGCAATTTCATTGTGCAAACAGGATGGAGTGCATTTACATGAATCTAGAGGGCATAGCCCACTGCACACCCAGGCCATATAGTCTAGCCCACTGCACATCCAGGCAGTATGGTCTAGCCCACTGTATACTCAAGGCTGTATGGTATAGCTCACTGCACACCTAGGCCATCTATTCTAGCTCACTGTACACCCAGGCTTTCTGGTCTAGCTTACTGCACACCCAGATCATATGGTCTAGCCCACTGCACACCCAGGCTGTCTGGTGTAGCCTGCTGCACACCCAGGCTGTCTGGTATAGCCCACTGCATGCCCACGCTGTCTGGTATAGCTTGCTGCATGCCCAGGCTATATGGTATAGCCCACGGCACACCCAGGCTGTCTGGTACAGCCCACTGCATGCCCACACTGTCTGGTATAGCTTACTGCACGCCTAGATCATATGGTCTAGCCCACTGCACACCCAGGCTGTCTGGTATAGCCCAGTGCATGCCCACGCTGTCTGGTATGGCTTACTGCACGCCTAGATCATATGGTCTAGCCCACTGCACACCCAGGCTGTCTGGTATAGCCCACTGCATGCCCACACTGTCTGGTATAGCTTGCTGCATGCCCAGATCATATGGTCTAGCCCACTGCACACCCAGGCTGTCTGGTGTAGCCTGCTGCACACCCAGGCTGTCTGGTGTAGCCCACTGCACACCCAGGCTGTCTGGTGTAGCCCACTGCATGCCCAGGCTGTCTGGTACAGCTTGCTGCATGCCCAGGCTATATGGTATAGCCCACTGCACACCCAGGCTGTCTG